TTGGGTTGTCTCCCAAGAGAATATGTGCTTTGTCCTGAAGGCAATGGGGAGCCTTAGAAAGATTAAAACATGCCAGCATGGTGTCTGGTGAGATTTTGTACTGCAGTGACAAAATCTACAGAGGAGAGAGTGACGTAGAGACTGGGAAGGAGATCACAGTAGGGGCCACCCTGGAGGGTCTGTACCTGAACTCTGTGGGCTGTGGGGCTGGAATTAAAAGGACTTTTCAGGGAGTTGGTAGAGACACAAGAGAAAACAAACCAGAACATACATATGATGATGGAAGAGAAGTACTGTAGTTTGAGTAACTGTCCTCCAAAGGTCTAGACTCCATCCCTGGTGTTATGGAGAAGGTGGTGGGACCTTTAAAAAGTAAGGTATGGTGGCAGGAAGCTAGGCTGTTGGAGGCAGGCCCTTAGAAGAGATACTGGGACCCTAGGCCTTGCTTTTCTTCTATCTTTTCTTCCTGGATTTCAGGGAGTCAACAGGCCTTCTCTGCTGAATGCTTCCACCATGACATACTCTGCCACCAAGGCTCAAAGCAACCAAAAGATCCAAACAACCACGGACAGAAACCTCTCAGACCATGAGCCAAAATAAACCTTTTCTCTTTTTAAATTGATCCGCTTGTTTTATGTCATAGTAACAGAAAGCTGACCAACACAGGGGGAAGAATGGAGGTATGACTCTTAGACAGAAGCATGGAAAGTACAAAGAGACAGAGATCAGAAAGATGCTGTCATATTGAGCAACTGCTCTTGAAAGTAGGCCTGTGACAGTGGAGAGACAGAAAGACGGAAGTCTGTATCTGGGAGTGATGGTAGTGTTCCCTCATTCATGGTTTTGAGTTTTACAGTTCCAATTATTCATGATCAGCCACAAGCTAAAAAACATCAAATGGAAAATTCCAGAAAAAAACAAGTTGTAAGTTTACAGTTGTACACAATTCTACATAGCACAAATGATGAAATCTCATCATCATCTTACTCTGTCCAGCTTGGGACATGAATGATTGTCCCTTTTTTCCAGTGTGTCCTCCCTGTATATGCTACCCACTGTTAGTTACCAAGTAGCCATGACACATAGTATATATACATACTTCACTACTTCACTACTGTCCCTTTTATACACTATGTAGGCTACTTGGATTAGGGTAGTACCAAACCAATCAATAGAATAATTTAGCATCCACACATCTTTAATCCCAGCATCACATTCTAGATTTAGCCACCTCTGAAAAAACCCCACTTATGACTACATGAGGCTTTTGGGGGACATCTAGACACAAACCATAATATCCTTGGAACAAAGCTTCTGTTTAGCTGGAATTTAGAGCACGGCCACAAAACCCTGCAACACAACTGCCTTGCAGCTAACATCTTTTTTTTTTTGTACAGAGGATCAAACTCATGACATTGCACTTAATAAGCAAACGCTTGAACTGCTGAGTTAAATCACTGGCCCCTACAGCTAACATCTTAAATAAATAATAAACACCTCAAAAGTTAAGCTTGAGGTTGTTTGCTGTACAGCATGACTGCAGCAAAAGCTGCCTGGTATGCACTATATATTGCTATGATTTATATCTAGATGTCCTCCCCAAAGTCTCACATACTCACAGGTAGGGACTTGGGGAGGTGACTGGATCATGGGGATGTGTTACTCTTAAGTGGATTAGTTTACTGACGAGTTTATGAAGCTAACTGTGATGCTGGGAGGTGAAGACAGCCAAAGAAAGGGGGAGTAAAGTTCCCTCTGCTATTCCTCCCTTCAAGGCGTCCACTTACCCACCATGCCATGAGCAGCTCTCCTCAGCACTCCTGTGCTCATCTTGTGTTACAGCCAGTGGACTGCAGACTAAAACTTCTGCAAACTAGGACCCAAAAAAACCCTCTCCTTCTCTAAGTTGTGGGTGTTGAGTATTGTGTCCAAGCAACAAGTAAAGTGACTAAGACAATGCATGAGATGTGACAAATGAGGAACCACAGAATGTTTTCATTGATGAGTTACATCTTTATTCACTCACTGGCCTTGGAGGTAGAGCTATCCAGCCTTACTTCAAAGTCACAACACCCTATAACCTCCTGCTCCTCCTAGTGCCTAGTTCCATCCATCATCATCCCTTCCCTTCCCTGAACTGAATCCTTCCCTGAATCTACATGCTTCAGTAGTCCTTCCATCCTAAAAATCTCTTCCTTCATCCTGTACCTCTCTATACTTCAATCTCTTTCTAAGCTTTTCTTTCTTTTTTAATTTTATTTTTATTTTTGGTATTGAAGATCAAACTCATGACCTTGTGCTTGCCAGACAAATGCTTATGCTACTGAGCTAAATCCCCAGCCTCTCTTGTAAGCTTTTCAGAAACACTTCAAACAGTCGACTATGCTCACAGTCTTCACTTCTTCACCTTCACATATATAGACAATCATATAGGCAACTTCTGGTACTTATTTCAACGCAATTCATTGTCTCTCTCACCCCAACCCTCTCCCTTCATTATCCTCTCAGTGACACCATCATTTATCCAGTGCCCTTGACTGAAAGCCACCATGAGACAATGAAGTCTGTCTGGATTTGTGAGTTTGCAGTGTCTTCAGACACCCAAGCAGTGGACAGTTAAACCTAATGGGCAGTTAAACTTGTGAAGTGGTAGCCCAAAATTGGACATAAGATGAAAACCATTCAAATCATATTTATTTATTTATTTTATTTTGGTACTGAGGATCCAACTCATGACCTCACACTTACCAGGCAAGTGCTTGACTTTTTCATTTTTATCGGTACCGGGGATCGAACTCACGACTGCCTGCTTGCAAGGCAGGCGCTTATGCCACTGAGCTAAATCCCCAGCCCCAAGGCAAGTGCTTGAACCACTAAGCTAAATCCCCGGTCCTTAAATCATATTTAAACCCATGAATATTCTTGAAATTTCCCAGTTTATAGAATGCAAGTATCAAGTCTATAAATCCCTGTTAACAAATAAAGACTTCTTCTGAACCCAGAAATCCCTATTCGTAGGGTCAAAAGTCTAACTGCCATTCAGTTTCTTCCCTATTAAATACCAATGCCACTATTTTGTTTCATAGATTTACCCCTTTTCAGATAGTCTTTTTCAAAAGCCAAAATTCAGTCACAAAAAAACAGAATGTCAAAATCCTATTGAGACACCACAAAGCAGTCAATAAAATGTCTTTCAGTCGAACAGATCATCAAAACGAGTACTGTCAAGGTATGGAACAAATCTAGTCCTCATGAATTGCTTCGGGAATGAATGTGAAAAGGTACATCTGGTTTCACTTCGAGTGGAAAGCCAATGTTCTCAAGACTTGGATAAGAATGTTTGTATATTAGCCCCAAATTGGAAATAACCCAAATATTCATTAATAAGAGAGAAGATAGAAATGGTGGTATATCCATGCAATGGAATATGACTCAGCAACAAAGCCCAAGTGACTCATGCACAACACAGGTGAATCTCAAAACATTAAAGTGAGAGAAATAAGCCAGACATAAAGAGTACGTGGATTTTATGTACACGAAGTCAAATCACAGGCACATATTACTCAGTGGATGATACAATCAGAAAATGGTTGCTTGGGTAGGTACAGTAGAAGGCAAATTAATTTGAAATGCTATTCTTTTAGAGTGATGCAAGTCTTTGATACCTCATTTTCCAGAGGCTGGTTACCTAGGAATAAACAACTAATCAAACTTATTAAACCAAACAAACATTTAAGATTTGTGGATTTTAATGTATGTAAGTTATATTTTAATGAAAACCTAGAAAAAAATCATTTTTAAGCATCTATAAAATAAACACTAAAATAACTGAAAATATGGGGCAGAAAGCACATTCATTTCAAACAAAATAATACTGTTACAAAAGCACCAGTACAAATGCCCAGTCCTCCATTTAACTCATCCCTTTTCAGCTACTCCCCCCACCTCCTCTTGATGAGATCCGTCATTAGAGAGATGCTGAAATGGAAAGAGCACAAGCAGTGGAGCCAGACAAAGGCATTCAAGTCCTAGCTGCAATTTATAGCTGAGTGCCCACAAGTCAGGTACTTGGCTCTCTGAATTTTCGCTTCTGCAGCTATAAAATAAGTTAGTAAGATCGAGTCTATGCCCTTAGGCTGGATAACACCAAATCACATTTGTCAAGGTCCAGAAATGCCCAAGGAACTAAACGACATGCAACAGGCTTCTTTTCCCAGAGAATAAAAATGCACCCTAGGCCCTGGAGTTAGAGTCTAGCTAAGTGCTTCTAACTCATAGGGAAAGCCACTCACAGCACGTTGGCCTAGGAAAGGTCACTATTTGCCTCCCACTCAGAGACAGGTTCCTGGCCACTAGAAGACTTTACCTTAGTTTTTGAACACTTCTGAACTTCAGTCACTCAAAAAGCACCAGACCAGGCTGAATACATGAATATGCAAAGCGTCTTCTGGAGGTTCCCCAGACAAGGTAGAGATAATTGTAAATAAAAGGTCATGAGTTCGATCCTCAGCACCAAAAATAAATAAATATGATTTGAATGGTTTTCATCTTATGTCCAACTTCGGGCTACCACTTCACAAGTTTAACTGCCCACTAGGTTTAACTGTCTACTGCTTGGGCGTCAGACTGAACCGGTTCTGTCTGAAATAAGTATGGAGGGGCCAAGGCCCTTCCCTCTAAGTGCTCTTCCCCTGCCACGATGGCTCTGGAGCCAGGATACTAAACCTCAGGAGACATGGTTTGAAATCTCTGGGAAGAGGAAATCCTTAGGGACACTCAGCATTTCATTAGTCAGTCACTGAACACCTGTTCCTTGTAAGAGAGGTAACTTGGACCTGATCCCTCCTCCATATGGTAGAGGAGGCAAGAGTTACCCAGAAAGAACTCCAAAGAAGGTAGAAAGTACGTACAGCAGTCACAAAGCAAAGAGGTTAACCATTACTTTCGCACCCCCTCCCTTGAGGCCCTGGCCACTGGCAGTGCACTTTACATTTGCTTACTCAGAAAGCGAGGTCTCCAGCAGTATCCTTATTTCGGAAGCCAGGAACCTGAGAAAAATATCTCTCACTTTGGGGGGTGGCTAAGTCAAGCCTCCACCCTGCATCAGCCGACGAAACATACCTATGTATTATTAGGTTACTAAGGAGGCACCCAAGCCTACTCGAGAGGCAGAAGTTGTGCAAAGAGCGGAAAAAAACTGCAAAAAGGCGGCGTGGGTCTCAGTTCCTTCCTGGGGGGAGGAGCGGCGCTGATAGCCTGGCGCCTCCTTCTCCCGCCCACAACCAGAGGGAAAATCAGGGAATCTCAAGAGGCTCTGTTTCCTCTCTCCTTTGCGCTGACGTTCCCCTTACCCCGCTTTACTGCTACTTGGATGTTTTTCAAGACTTTGTGTAATCCTTCTCTTTAGCTATTTTCCTGCCATTTTCAATCGCGGAGGGGTGTCCTGAGTGGGAATGAGATGGCTTGAAAAGTTGAAGGGACCCTTTTGCCTCCCATCTCCCCAAGTAACGACGAGCACTTGGGCTGTCAGAGTTACTGGGGCGCCTGAAACTTTCCCCGCTGGGTGACGGCGCTGGCGTGGTGCTCAGATCGGAAAGCCCTCAACATATTCGTCTCTGTCTCTTCCCTGCTCTCACTGTGTGCCTATCTCCCGCTCTCCATCTCCAGAGCCACCCGCTTTGCATCCTGTTGTCTGCCAGAGCCGCGCCCCTGTCCCGCCCCACAGCCTAGATGGATCCCTCCAGCCTTTCAAGACTGACTCTCCTAGTGGACCCGCTGAGAGCCCCTGTCCTCCCCGCCTCTACCCTCGGGTGGGCACATTTGAACACTTGCCGCCCTGGCCGGCAGGCATGAGTCTGGAAGGATGGACAGAGGTACGACGGACACAGGTTGGGGACAGAGACTGGGTCAGATCTGAGCACAGAAGAAACACTGCTAGAACAAAAGCCAGCAACACGAGCGGGCAGACCCAGGGCAGCGCCAGAGCAGTGGCCTCCTTGGTCCCCCAGCCACCTGCGCCACGCACGGGGCCCCTCAGCCCAGAACCCAGCTCCCAAAGCGCGACCTCCAGGACCCACCTGATCCGCAGAACCCGGGCGCCACGGCCGGACCCACCCGGGCTCCGCTGACCGTGACGGAGACACGGAAGCCCGCAGGAGCCTGTGCTGGGCGTGCAGGGGCGGGGTGCGCCTGCCCTTCCCCGTGGGACCGCGGCCGGCCGGGTGACCCCTCCGCGCAGCGGGCAGCAAACAGCGGCGCGAGGCAACGAAGTGCGCTGGATACAGCGGGCGGCGCCTCCCGGCCCCGCCTGGCTCGGCTCGCGATTGTGGGTGCCAAGCCTGTCCCCGCCCCGACCCCGACCGCCCGGAGGCCCGCTGCGCGGGTGCGTGAGTGTTGTGTGCGCGCGCAGGCGCTCGTGTGTCTGGGTGGTGGGAAGTGGGTGATGTTTGTTTCATTTTCACTCAACCGAAAGAAAGCCTGAAACCAGCAAAAAAGAAAATAGTAAAATCCCTGGCTAGAGTGGCTGGGCCTCTTTTGCCTGCATGAGGTGGTAGGAAGTTGGGGTCTGCCTCTTGCTTCCAGGAGGCAAAACAGAACCCTCAATCTTGCTAGGATTCCTCCCAGCCCTGAGCTCCGGAAGTGAGGGGCTGGGCACTAGGCTTCAGTGGTCTTTGAGTCCAAAAGTTCGCAAACAGGGCTCCACACAGCCTCTGGCGTTTTCTTCTTGGCTTATTTAGAAAGAAATCAAAAAACAATTTTAAAAATCTATTTCAGAATTTGTACTTCTGTGCCCAGAGTGATAGCAATTCACTTCTAGCGAGTAGGAAAGTGACACCTTCGGGCTCCTATGGTTTTGTTTTACTGGTGGAAATGAAACCATAATGGTTTGTTTTGTCAAGATTATTTGCTACTGGATATCGTTTTCAATTTCATAAACTAAGAAATTAGCTTCTTATGCCGGGCGTGGTGGCACACGCCTGTAATCCCGCACTTGGGAGGCTGAGGTGGGAGGATTGTTGCAAGTTCAAGACCATCGTGGGCTACAAAGTGAGTTCAAGGCCAGCCTGAACTGCATGGCGAGACCCCATCTCAAAAAAGACCGAAAAAAGAAAAAGAAATTAGCTTCTTAGATAGTTGAATACATTGGAACTGTAATTCGTCGTTAGGAAAAGGACACAGAGCATGGACACGATGTACAATAATGTTCATTGTCTCCTACAAATGTAGAAGGAGCAGAGGTTCGACTGAGTCCTGGAAAGATCCACAGAACCCAGACACCAGCCAGGTTGATGTCACAGAATTAGAGAGAGTGGCATTTCCTGGTAAGGCTCAGGAAGCAAAGTGGTGGGACAATGAATCACAGGCCCCTCGAAACGGCTCAGGAATGGGGAGCTCGCAGCAGCCAGCACAAAGGGCCTTTGCTAGAGGATAAATTGCACCATTATCATCTTTTGTGAGCACGCTTGCAATAGTTCATTTGCAGTGAGCACCACAGTAAATATGCAGTGAGTGAGATTCCACTAAATGCACTATTTTCCCCTTCCCATTACTGCACTGAGGATGTGTTGTTCAAATTGCTAGTCCACCAAACTGGATTACAATTTTTTTGGAAAAGGAAAACAATGAGAATAAATGTAATGGTAGCTCAAATGTGATGGCTTGTTGTGATCAAAAGATGACAACCCCAAATATCACTCTGCTGATTTAAGCCCAGTAAAATTGATTTTGTGTTTCTGTTTGCGTTTGCTCTGAAGATTTGTTTCAGTTTTATGGTTGCTTGATGAGCTCTGAGCATGAGAAGCTTGTGTGTAATTTTAAAGTTAGACCTTCTTCAGTAAAAATACAATAAAAATAATGAGTCACCACTTTGAGTCTGTTAGATTCCTTTTTTCCTTTTGAAAGGAGGCGTTTGTTTCTAAAATCAAACTAGCAGTTCTACGGACAAATGTCTAAACTATGACACACCTTGAAAATTATATAGTGGGTCATACATGTAGTGGTTTGGGGGTCAAGAGTTCCAGGTTTAAGGCCTTAGATGAATCATTCTGCCCTTCTAAGACTCATTCATCTCCTATGCAAAATTGGGGTAAGATAACTGATATGTAAGAGACGTGAAATAAAGATAACTTCACGGAAGTTATCTTGAAGATCCTGGCATCACAGGCAGATGAGACTGAGATACTCTAGGAGTGGAAAGCTGGACTGGGCAGACATTGAGTAGCCTTAACCCTAGGGTAGATACAACCCAAAATACTTTACATTTGTGCCACTTTGATACTCAGGGCAGCCTGCCAAGTGGATATGAATCACATTCTCTGTTCCAAGGAAAAAAGGAGAGGCACAGGGAACTTAAATAACTTTGTTTGCCATCTCACTAGATATGGCCAAATGCCCTGGGATCAGAAGATCTTCCCTTATCCTTTCTTCTTGCTTCTACCAAATGTTTACTGCAGCCTGTGTTAGTTTGCCATCACTATGACAAAGTACTTGACATAAATTATCCTTAAGTAGGAAAGCTTATTTTGGCTCGTAGTTTCATGGGCTTTAATCCATGGCTAACTGGTCCCATTACGTCATAGCTCAAATGCATGGTGGAGCAGTCAAGAAGAGAGAGACAGGAAAAGAGCATAAAACAAAAAGGGTCTGGGGACCAGATATAATTCCCAAGGTCACATCTCTGTGATCTATTCCTTTCAACCAGGTCCCGTATTGTTTCCATCACCTCTCGAAAATGCCGTAAAATCACAAGCTCATCAATGGGTTAATGTACCAATGAAGTTAGAACCTTAATGATCCCATCACTTCTGACACCTGTCTTCTGGCACCCAAACTTTTAGCACATGAGTTTGGGGGGACATTTCAAATCCAAACTATTACAGGAACTTATGTCTATCATGCTGAGGACACCATGTAGACAGTGCCATAGTCCAGGCAGACCAGTAAGAAGCAGAAAATAAACTAAGTATGACCCAACTCATCATGTCAGGATCATTGTGATCAAGCCTCAGAGAGACCCGCAAGATGCAGAGGTCTGGACAATGAGTAGGCTCAGACCTGAGAAAGGGGTTAGCTAGAGGGAGAGTAGGCAGGGAGTAACCAGAACAGAATGGCGTGCAAAAGTCTTGACTTGGGACATAAAAGGTTTGTGAGAGTGCGGGAAGGTTTCACCATCATGAAGATAGTAACTCTCCTCAAAGTAATCATAAATTCTCAACAAATCCTGCTGCAGTTTCCTGGGGCTCCTCAGATTCATATTGAAGATCAAAGGGCCAAAGTTAACTGAAACAGTTTTGACAAAGCATAAAGGGAAAGGGGGAATGGTGCTCAATCAGTAATCATTCAGGCAGTGCAGTTATCCCATTTTATCAAAGGGGAGTATGTTCTAGGAATCCCGGTGGATGCCTAAAACTATAGATTTAGTTTTAGGAACCACCTTATGATGCTTCAAGTTACAAGGTTTCTTTTCCTACTTTCCAATGCTGTTCAAGTGTATGCACCCTCCTTTTCACTTTCACTACAGTTATCAGTAATTACATGAGATATTCAACACTGTTATGATTTAGATCTGAAATAGTTCCCAAAAGCCTCATGGGTTCAGAGGTGTGGCTTTAAGAAGGTGATTGGATCATGGGGGAGCCATATTCATCAGTGGATTAATCCATTGATGAGTGCATAGCTGATGGTGCTGGTAGGAGATGGAGGCAGGCTGGAGAAGGTGGGCCCTTGGACATGCCTTCAGAGTCTGGCTCTTTCTCTCTCTGCTTCCTGGCTGCAATGGGTTTCTTCTATCATGCCTTCAGCAATGCTATTTCTGCACTGGAGCCAAATAATTGATGAAACCATGAACCAAATAAACCCCTGAAACTATGAGCCAAATAAACCTTACCTTTTATAACTTTTGGATGTTGGCTATTTTGTCCCAGCTATAGAAAAACTAATACCAAATAATGTTGGCTTTATGTCAGATTATTTTGCACAATTATTGGTTTATAAAAGTGTGTTCTGAACACATTTAAATTAGGCTAGTCTAAATTATGATGTTCAGCAGGTAAGAAGTATTAAGTGCATTTTTTGCTTAAAATATTTTCAGCTGGCAGTGGTTTATTGGAATGTAACCCCACCATAAGTCAAGAGGCATCTATGTATAGCACTGTGATTTCTCCTATATATACACATCTGTGCTGTGATAATGTGCTTAGGCACATTAAGACAAACCACAATAACAATAAAATAAGGCAATTATAACATTATAATAAAAATTATTGAATTATTTGTCTCTGAAATTTGACACTTAATATTTTCAGTCTGAGGTAGAGTATGGATTATTGAAAATTCAGAAGGTAGAAGCAAGAATATGTTTCTTCTACCATGGAGACTACTGGATAGCGTTGATGCTAGAATGGATTATTAGGCCCACAGACAAGAATGAGGTCTTAGAAAGAGACCCATGTGTGGGGAAGCTGGCCGTGTGACAGAGGTGGAATCACAGCTCCGTGAAGGAAAGAACAGATCATTCAAGTGTTGCTGGCACCTACAAAAATTGAAAACAGGTGTATAAACAAAAACCTGTACAAGAATATTTATGGCACTGCTGCTCCAATAGTCAAAAAGTAGAATCAGCCCAAATATCTTTCAGCTGAGGAATAGGTAAACAAAATGTATTCTATCCCTACAATGGAATATTACTCAACATCAAAAGGAATGGAATACTGATTCATGCTGCAACATGGGTGAACTTTGAAAATATTTTGCTAGGGAAAAGCCAGACAAAGAGGATCTTATATTGTACAATTCTATTTGTATGAAATATTCCAACTAGGCAAATTCATAGAGTTAAAAAACAGCTAAGAGGTTGCCAGGATCTGGGAGTTGAGAAGACAAAGACTTTAATGGGTTTAGAGTTTCCTTTGAGGTCATGGCTACTGTTCTGGAACTAGGTGGTGGGAATGGTTACACAACATCAATAATGTTCTAAATGCCACTGAATTACGAATTGTAGTGGATTGGTAACTGGTGATCAACTTAAACACAGCTGAACTGAATCAGCATG